TTATCCTTACTAATACAGATATTATGAAGATATTTCACCAAAAGGAGATTCTGGCATGCATGCTGGTAGCTGCCAGCACAGGAGTGGAAATGGTGAAAAAAATCCGCCTTTATCCTTACGGTATAAATATTTTTGGAATTTAGTTATTTTTAGTTATTACAAAAAATATCACATAAGTTACAGGTCCCAAAGCAACAGGAAGGCTCTGGTCATTTCTACTCAGTATGGTAGGATTTTATTTCATAGAGTTTAGTTTCAGATTTAAAGGCATCTCACTCCATGAGGTCTAGTGAAACGTATCATGAATCACATATCATGTGATTATTTAATATGTTTAGGTTTTGTATGCCTTGCACTTAATATTATGGATTTTTAATTTGTTTGTCTTTGTGGTTCTATAATAATTTGAAAATTAATAAAAATCAAAAAATAAAAATTTGTAAAAGTGTGGGATAGCAATAATTGCCTCCTGTGGAATCAAGTTCCAAAGTTTCACTATGTGCTATATGAAGAAATCCTTTCTTTTATCTGTACTGATGCATTGTTCTAACTGAATTTTGTATGTAAGCTTTCTTGGAGACCATTGATGGAAAACCGAAGTTTAATTCTTTTAAATTAATCATAACTAATCTTCTTTTTATTTATTTGGATTTATTTTATTCAAACTATATTTAGATGGCATGACCTATTCTGTCAAGTAGTGCCCTGGGTACTTTGAGGAAAGGTGGTCAGCAACTGTGGTAGACAAAAAAACAAAAAACAAAACCTCACCATCTTTTATAGTTTTAAATTGTAACATATATTGTTAGGTTTTCTCTGTGGAGTGAGAAGTTCTAAGGGTGCAACACTTACCTGGGCTTAGTTTTACTTGGAAGGAGGTCACTGAAGACTTATGGCGTGTCTTCCATATTTGAGCTTAATTACAAACATAAAGGGTAAAGGTAAAGGGACCCCTGACTATTAGGTCCAGTCATGACCAACTCTGGGGTTGCGGTGCTCATCTCGCTTTATTGGCCGAGGGAGCCGGCGTGCAGCTTCCGGGTCATGTGGCCAGCATGACTAAGCCGCTTCTGGCGAACCAGAGCAGCGCAGGAAACGCTGTTTAGCTTCCCGCCGGAGCGGTACCTATTTATCTACTTGCACTTTGACGTGCTTTTGAACTGCTAGGTTGGCAGGAGCAGGGACCGAGCAATGGGAGCTCACCCCGTCACTGGGATTGGAACCGCCAACCTTCTGATTGGCAAGTCCTAGGCTCTGTGGTTTAACCCACAGCGCCACCCTTGTCCCAATTACAATCATCAGGGGAGGCAAACAGCTTAAATGCTGCAGCAGCAAATTCCACTGCCCCACATACAATCTCAGAGAGGCAGCCCAGTACCTCCAAAATGCTCCTATGCCTCAAAGAGGCCAAAAATCTGTGAAGCTCTCTCTCTCTGTCTCCTTAACTATCTCAGAAACTATAGCCTGTCACCTTTCACAAAGACACAGACGTATATAATCATTAGATGATGGGCTGTTGGGATGAAAATATTTCTCCTTTCAGTAGAGCTGTGTCTGAAAAGCTTCTCAAAAGCCTTCACCATATGGGCAGAGAAAGGGACCAGATTCACCAGAATTCTCCAGGGGTGGAGAGAAGTTCTACAACAGTTTTTTGTGTATGTGTGTGTGGCGGGGTCCGCACTAGGAACAAATGTGTTCCCTCCTCCACAGGTTTCGTTTTGTGGGTACTGTGAGTGGTAGCAGCAGCAACTGTGTTGGCAGCCTAGCCACCATTTTGCATTTTCCGCAGTGCCTCAGAAGTGGCATCATTCCACAGCAGTTGGAGAATATTTGGAGAAAATTATGCAAAGTGGCTTTCTTTTTCTAAGGGGGTGAGAAAAAGAAATACCTCAGAGATTTTCCTCAGGAAAAAATGTTTACTGTGAAATGTCAGTTCAGCTCTATCTTCCAGGTAATTTCTCTTGAAAAGGAAAGTATAGACAGACCTGGCCTGCAATTCTGACCAACTTTAAGACATATTTCTGGACCCACCAAGCCTCTTTTATCCACGACCCCTCCTCATAACAATATTACTGAACACAAGGGCATTTTACAGCCACCACAGGACTCAACAGCAAACCTAGTTTTGATTTTAGTGAGTGTGGTGCACCTTACGATAATTTTCTGTTTGCCTAGAAAAAAACTACTATTTTTTAATCACATACTGTACTGGGTTCGGCATAAACTGAACCAATGCAGTATAATAGCAGCAATGGCCCAAATGAGGCCCACATCAACTGGTATAAAAGAAAGAAAATAAAATGGAAGTTGATTTCAACTTCCTGTGAAAATGTGTGTTCTATTTTTGTGAGGCTCTCACCATCCGTCTCCAAAGTAAGACAAAGAAGCCCCTTCCCTACCTACATAAATGTCAGAACGTAGCACAAAACAGTCAGCTTGCGCCAAAGTGCAGGGAGAGTTGGTTTGCTAAAATATATATATTAAAATGTTTGCCCTGGGTATCACTTCCCCATGAAGCACACCTTACAGCCATATGTTCTCACATCTGCATTCCATTCCACACAGTTGCCAGTTGTTAAAACATCTTCTTTGTATTTCTGTGAGGAAGCTTCAAAGGCACGTGCATCTATATGTAACTATCTAAAAAAGCACTACCACAAATGCGAGTTTGTTGAAACTGCCACATTCCCTGGCTGAGCAGTGCTGCAAAAATGCATGACGGTCATTTTATAACATGGAACAGAATACGTTTAGTTTCACAAAGCAGCAGTCTTCTTCAGTCACTTTGTGCATTTAGAGCCTTTTCCATGAAATGAGTAAAACCTGGGGCATTCCAAAATTTGACACAGGGGTCAGTTTACGCCTATGCTTTTAATAGGGGAAATATTGCCTGGAGGTGAAAAATGCCTGCAGTCCTACCATGGTTACTGGTTCTTATAAACATGCCCCACAGGAAGAAATAATAGATATACGGCTGCACAAAATTCAAAGGGAAAAATTTGCACTATGGTTGTCTCTCGTTCGCCCTTGAATGGCTGATGCTATAGGAATGCAAAATACAGAAGAATGGATTGACTTATTTTAGGTTAAAAGATTTAAAGGCCTGCAATTTGGAACGCGTGACACTTTTTGAATGATACTGATGTTTGAAGATGGAGTTTTGGGCCTCTTGGAAGAACCTGCATCAGGGCAGAAATAAATAAACTGATCGATCTATAGTAGCATTACATCGCTCATCCTCTAGTATACTAATTGCAGACAACTGTCAATCATATCTTCCCCTCCTCTCTCTTTTCCCAGTTTGACCCTGGACTACAACTACCATTATCCTTGACCATTGGCGATGCTGGCTACTGTTACTGGGAACACACACCCTGTCAGGAACGTGCCCCCCCCCCGAGCACACCGGGAGAGTCAGCCTCAGAAATAATGGGAGCTGGGTGAGGAAGCTGGGTGAGGAAGAGGCTGACTGTAGATGAGAGCTATCTGTCTGATTTTAGATGAACAGCCCACGGCCCCTTCTTTCCAAAGAAGAAGTGGTTAGTTCCCAAAGGAAGGAAGAGTTGGATGTTGGCCAAGGCATTGCCAGGCAACCAGCAGATAAGACACTGTTGGAGGCTATTCTGAGGAAGAGGTAGCTCAGCCCTGCAGTCTTAAATGAGGTGATTAGAGAGATTCCAAGAGCAACGGAAGGAAAAGAGATGAAAGGCGGGATTTGGGCGTTCTTCCTGTTGGGGGAGGAACGATGAGTCAGACTGAGTAGCTAGATTAATGGGAGCAGGCAGATTGCCATGCTCTGAAGGTGCTTTTCTTTTAAATAAACTTGTATAAAACTGACGTAGAGTCTTTGCTGATTTAGCAGGCTGCTCGCCTGCCAGAAATCATTATACACCCCAACAAAAGGCTTCATCCTAGCCTGGGAAAAACCTGACCCATCCCCAAATCAATTTTTGTGTGTGCGCATGTGCACTAATGTTTAATTGTGGTTTATTTGGTCCTTCATCTTGATTCAGCATGGCATCTGGTGCCCAAATGTTGACAAGGACTGCCTCCTCCATCTTCATTCAAAATGGCGGATGGCATACCAACACTGACAAAAACCATCCCCCTCTCCCACCTTGGGAATGCTGACTTTGGCAATGATCTCTTGAGAGGTGTCTGAATGCATAGAGAACAAACCGACAAACCATTTCCCAGACAATGAATGTCACCAAACTAGTCCACACAAAGTCAACAAACACAAACGTGTGCTACTTTAATTGCACAACTCAATCCTTGAATAAATCCACTGACAATGCCCTGCCACCGCATCCCTTCAACATTTCTCTTACGTATCCTGAATGGGAGCTGAAAGCAATTTAGGCAATCATGTAAATGGTTTGCACAATTGGTCCTGACAGGCAGGAGTAGCTTTGGTGTGAACTCTCTGAAATACCTCTAGCATATTGTGAAGGAGGGGCTTGACCTTACCAGCCTGGGGACCTCAATAACCTCCTGGAAATGTTTTACCCAGAAGGGCTCTATGCTGCTGTGAAATATGTAACCAACAACAAAAAAGTTATAGCTTAGATAGCTTAACATAAGCAGCTCATTCAGGACGGGTCTGACATCACTGGCAGCCAATTGGAAGGTTGCATCGCTGTTCACTATTCCAAAAGCTGGGTCATAACTCTTCACTTTGCTTCTGAATTTATAATAAATAATACATATGCTGCTCTCATTTTATTTTTGAAACCTTCTCTTTTCTTCTTAACGTCCCCGCTGGATAACCCATTTTCTCTCTCAGTTCTCTCAACAGACGTTCTGGTGATGATCCAACATGGCTCTCCTTATCTGTGACACACATTTTGATGCAAGGTCATTGATGTTCTAAAAGATTAGGAACATTGGGAGCTGCCTCAGATTAAGTCTGGCCAGTGGTCCACCTAGGTCAGTATTGTCCACACAGACTGACAGCAGCTCTGTAAGGTTCCAGACAGGGAGTTGCTCCCAGCCCTTCCTGGAGGTTCCAGGAATCGAACCTGGGAACTTCTGAATGCAAGGCAGATGCTCTGCTGCTGAGCTTTAGCTGTAGGTATGCAGTTTAACCAAAAATAAAATAAAATAGACCTAGAAAGCATCTTAAAAACCTAGACAGCATCATAAAAAGCAGAGACATCACCTTGCCAACAAAGGTCCGTATAGTAAAAGCTATGGTTTTCCCAGTAGTGATGTATGGAAGTGAGAGCTGGACCATAAAGAAGGCTGATCGCCAAAGAATTGATGCTTTTGAATTATGGTGCTGGAGGAGACTCTTGAGAGTCCCATGGACTGCAAGAAGATCAAACCTCTCCATTCTTAAGGAAATCAGCCCTGAGTGCTCACTGGAAGGACAGACCCTGAAGCTGAGCCTCCAATACTTTGGCCACCTCATGAGAAGAGAAGACTCCCTGGAAAAGACCCTGATGTTGGGAAAAATGGAGGGCACAAGGAGAAGGGGACGACAGAGGACGAGATGGTTGGACAGTGTTCTCGAAGCTACCAGCATGAGTTTGACCAAACTGCGGGAGGCAGTGGAAGACAGGAAGGCCTGGCGTGCTCTGGTCCATGGGGTCACGAAGAGTCGGACACAACTAAACGACTAAACAACAACAACAAAATAAAATAATAATAACGGACAGCTAGTCCTTCCTCTCCACCTCCAGGGCCAGCCCTGCCATACAGCTGAGTGAAGCAGCCTGCTTTATGCAGAACCATTGGCAGGTTGAATACACATGCCTGAATGGTTCAGCAAGGCTTCTTAACGTATTGTCCATAGCTGGTGGGGAGGGACATGCACATGGTGTCTGCTTCAGGCAACAAAATGCCTTGGACTGGCCCCGCTCCCTTGACTTGGAGAAGCTTTTTTCAGACACTCATAAAACAGGAAGGTGGACCTGGACTGGGAAAGGTTGAGACGACCACATACTTGATCTGGGATCAGCCCTGTCTCTCCTGGAGAACATATTTGCTCTGGTCAAACCACCAGTTCCCATAGATACTGCATGTGTAAGCAAAGCAGACTTACCAGCTCTTTTATATTAGCCTGCTTCCGTAAATCCTGTCCCAGAACAAATTTTTCAAACTTTCTTTCTTTCTTTTTCTTTTTTGGCAGGAAATGTCAGCCAAATAGCTAGACTTAAAAAATAAAATCAAGAGCTGTGCCTATTTTCTAGGAATGCTTATGAAGGGCCTGATCCAAAACCACACTAGAATCAGTACAGAGAGCTACTAATAACAACTTGAACAGGACCACAGATGCAGACGAAACTTCACAAGATTAAATGAAGCAGCCTCCTGGTTCAAACTTTCAATTTAAAGGGACAGGAAGGAAGGAAGGAAGGAAGGACTGAGAAAGAAAGGAAGATAAACTTCAGGTGGGATACAATCCTATACTGGCAAATTCAGTTTGTACAATTAAGGTTGATTTGGTGCTGTTGTTCAGCAGTCCTGCCCAAAAACAGACTTTTTGCAAAAAGGAAAGTTATGGGGCAATGCCCTGGAAAGTGTGAGATAATATTTGCTTGATGCAACACCATATAACAAACCAGGAGGGATGCTAAATAAACAGCTGATGCTGCCCAACCTCCCCACAGACAGCTTTTGTGCAAACAAATCAGAATGAATGCTCAAGAAACAGGTCATCTGGAAGTGACCCAGGAGTCAAAACTCTTCCAATGTGTGATTCCACCTGGAGGAATCTACCCTATAGGTTTACACACTTGCCTAGGGAAGAGTCCAACATGGGACTTTATGTGGACCTTTCCAAGGAAAAGGACAGGTATGATTTGCCAACCTCCGAAGGCAGGACTGGTAGTTCACAGCGAGGAGTCTGAACTCCCTCTTGCACAGATCCATTGACTGTGTGAAGCTGATGCACAGATTTGAGATCATTCATTTGCACCACAAAACACATGGCTCCAAGTCAGCCCTTCACCCTTTTAAATCACTTGAACCAGCTGTTTGCCAACATGATGCCCTCCAGGTGTTTAGCCGCCCAGAGTGGCTGGGGCAACCCAGCCAGATAGGCAGGGTATAAATAATAAGATGATTATTATTAGGACTACAACTTCCATCAGCTCCAGGTGGTGCACCATGCTGGCAGGGGCTGATGGGGGTTGTAGTCCAAGATGTCTGGAGGGCACCAGTGGCAGGACTCCTTTGAAATCTGCTCTCCCTCAAAGCCATTACCCATGGAGCTCTCCCAGGTGCTGCAGATCATGCTGCTGGCCATGGTACCCAGGACCCTGACATGCTGTTTCCTGTCAGCTGCTACCTCCATTTGCTTCTAATTGGCTGAACTGCTTTGGACCTATATAAAACTTTGCCTTTCCTTAATCTGGGCCAAAAAAACATCCCAGGCTGGTATCTAGAGTACAGTTAACTTGTACCGATTTATGCAGATGCAGTGTTTGGCAGACTGGTGTTTTTATGTACTGGCTAATTTTAACATTTTTTGGGGGGAAGCTTAAAGACACTGTATCATTGTTTCTAATGTCCTTAAAAAGACATTGTATCATTGTTTCTAATAAAATAGAAACTCAAAATCTTTGACATCTTTAAATCCTGAATTTTCACAAAGAAACCCATAGATTCAAGAAATGCACACAGAGGCCATTAGCATAGCTGTCAACTGTTCCCTTTTTCAAAGGGAAATTCCCTTATTCCGAATAGGATTCCTCACAAGAAAAGGGAAAAATTGACAGCTATGGCCATTAGAGAAGTCTACTAAAAGAGGGTCAGGCATTAACATTGGGTGTCCAAAGGAACAAACATATCCCACGGTCACAGTGACCGCATGGAGTCGACCAAGTGCTCTCCACTCCTGCCCCCATCCCATAATTGCTTGTAGTGTGTCCATCCAGATTAGAATGTAAAATCCTTGGGGTAGGAGCCTGTCGAAATGATGTATTGCCATGCACACCTATGACATTGGGTAAATAATTAACAACAGCAACAGTAATTAATGCGCCTGGGCAGCCTCATCGCTTGACATTGCTGCTAGCTAAGCGGCTGCCATTCAGCGTTGTGGTCGAACGGGATCTCATCAGCTCTGTAGAAAACCAAACTGTAAGGATGAATATGTATATGAAGGGATGGTTCTGACTTTAAAAAATGGGCGCTGATTAAAATGGAAATGCTATTGACATATTCATTTTTAGCTTTATTGGAGTAGGGTGGAAAACCAGACCTAACCCTAACCCCAAATCTAGAAAAGACAACTACATTCATGCTGAATCATAATGGAGCTCAAAATGGATGCTTATTAATAGTAAGGGTGCTTGGCTTTCCCCCACAAGTGTGGAGTCTCCCTTTCTCAGTATGAGCTTAGGGAATCAGGGCGTTGGAAACGACACCCAAACCTTCCATTACACGATGCTTGTGGGTGTCCAGCCCAGGGCAGCCCAACTCCCCCCCCCATCTTTATTTGTCTCTTTTGACAAATATTCATGAAATCACATTGTAACTTCTCAATTCTCCTGTAACTAAACATGTGATTCTAAGACATAATAAAGAAAACAAAATATTTACTTATTTGTTTGATCCATTTGTACTCCATTTACACTTGACTTCCCTCCCCTTCTTACTTGGGTCCTCTATTTTACTTAGTTGAATGCCCCTCATAATATATCTATATTTTTGGTAACTTATTTTTGCACTATATTTTAATATTTCCTTACAAGAGTTATTCTAAACCAGTCAAAATTTTTAATTCTCCATAATGGTCTTTTATTTATTGTTTAAATATATTCCAATCATTTTTGAATTTTTGTTTTGTTTGATCTCTTATCTGCCCTGTCAGCTTATCAATCTCAGCATACTCCATCAGTTTAGTCAGCCAATCTTTCTTCGTCGGTAAGATCTCATTTTTTTCCAATTCTGAGCCAAGTGGGCCACAAGAGTACTTTGGCACGGAACCCAAGGGCCACATACTGCTGTGTTGCATGCACGGGGTGGGGGGAGTGAGGCCAAAATATGGCACCCCCTTCAGGCCTTGCACTGCCTTTCCAAAGCCAGCTAAGTGAGGTGCTGGGCTTTGGGAAGGAGGCACAAGGCCTCTGGCAGGGTCCTAGAGCTCTCTCACCTCCTTCCCAAAGCTGGGGAAGTGTTTGGGAAGGAGGAAGGAGGACTCTAGTACCTTATCAGAGACTTCATGCCTTCTTCACAAAGCCAAGCACCTCGCTTACTTGGCTTTGGGAAGGCAGTGAAAGGGCTACGGCTGGGCATCAAATGTTCTTAGGGCTTCCAAAAAAGGCCTTGAGTCTTCGGTCCATATGTTGGACCATCCTGGTTTAGCTCTTTCTGAGGGAAAGAATCAAACCCTAAGTCTAGTCATCTCTATCTGGCCCTTAGAATTCTCCTCAGGCCATACACCCATCTGGACCTATGTCATCCCCCAAGCATTTCTGCCAGGCTGGAACATGTCCTTGAACACTGATCATGACTCTTGCTTGCCTGGATGGAGGATAGAAGTGAAGGTAAAATTTACATTTGTTGTTCCACCCACTTTTGGCCCTGGACCTGCTCGCCAATAGTATGTGGCCCCTGGAAGGAAATGTGGTCCTCAGGCGAAAAAAAGGTTTCCCGCCCCTAGCCCAAAGCTAGATTGAAATGCATCAATATAATCAGGTGATATTTTATGTCCACAAACTTCTCAAGGCCTTGCCAAAGAAGGGAATGTTGGCATTAAAAACCTCATGGTCCAGGATGGGCCTCTGAAGGATGGAAGCACCTCTTTCAAGGCAGCTGTATTGCAGATATTAATATTGTGCAGTTTGAAGTGATTGGATGCAAAAGAATGGACTCTTTTTGTCAGAAACCATTGTCCAGACCCATAAAAATATTATTCAAACTTTTACTTGCAGAACTCTTTAAAAAGCAGACTATAAGACATCAAATATACATCCAAAACTTCCAAAAAATCAAGACGGTGTCTCTCTCCCACATTCCAGCCTGCCTTAGCCTTCTTAAGGCTATGCAGCTTGGGGAGCCATTATCACATGCTTTTGTAATAAGACTAACAGCTGCCACCCTTTCAAGATGGTGAATT